TGGCTGCAAGGACCGACGCTTCGCGGACCCGGGGGTTTCTTGCGCCTTGGGGTCTCTCAGAATTCCCATCTTTTGCAATTGACCTGTGTCCTAGTCAGTCGATTACTCTACAGAAAACCAGAGGGGATAAACTCACGCTCGCCACGGTACATGAATGTGAAGGTGGCGTAAGGTTTGTCGGATGGGTCGATGCCTGTCACGGTCTGCGTGCTAATCGTCTTGGGGTCGAGCGTCTTTGGCTTCGCAAAGCTCGTTGTGTGATCAATGTCCGCATCAGCTGCCCCTTTATGTCCATTCTCGCCCTGGGCTTCGTCATCATCGTCATGAGCATCGAACTGTGGTGAGTACTCTCCGCGCTTAATCTCCCCAGATGCCAGGACACGGAACAAAGCCACCTTGATCTGACCCGCAGACTCGGGAATCGGGTCATCGTCCGAATCGGAGAACGACATGTCGTCGTCCGAAACATCTTCTAGCGGAGACTTGGCATCGTTGCCATAGCGCATGACTCCTTTGCCCGACTTTGCGTCCATCTCCAGATCTCCAGTTGCTTCCCGCTTGATTCGGCGCTTCTCCATTTTTTGTCGTCGGCGCTCGATCTTGGCGGCAGCGTCTTTACCCTCCAAGTCCAAGCCGTTCAGCCATCTTTCTAGTCCGACTTCGCGGAAGAGAAACTCCCGTTCGGCGAGACCTCCGCCCTCTGATACCGGTACGCTGACCCATCGAGAGTTGACCCACGTTTCTTCACCTCTCCGCAGCAGTGTGGCCACTTCCTCCTTGGCCCGGCCATCAAAGTAGATGTAGGCGGCGACCGTTTCATTTGGCGAATTAGTCAATGCTTGGTACGGAGCAACCGTGCTGCTGTACTGGCCACGCTCCCCGGTAGTCCCGGGTAGCCCACCAACTACCTTCGGCTTGGGTGCGGGGTTGTCGGGGGTCGGTTTCGGGGCGGAGTATGGGACGTCTTGGCCGGGGTTGAGAAGAGTGATGGAGATAGCGAACGTTGACTGCTCAGGGCGCCCGGATCCGGATTCGGGGATCTTGGGTGGTGGCACGGGGATGTAGCAAGCTATGCGAGACGCCCGGGACTGGCGTTGAATGGAGTATTCGGAGATAGGTCCGTCCGGAGTGTGTATACTCACGGCGAGACCCTTGAAACAGGGCATGGCGGGGCGGGGATGCGGTTCGCGGCGATGAGAGGTGTTTTGAGAGTAAATTCGAAGCTAGCGTTTCACCCAGCTGGAAGTGAAAGAATGGAGGGGCAAGAGAGGGAGGGCGAGAGTGCGTGGAATCGTCCCTAGGAGAGCTAGTTGTGGGTGGTGGAGGCGGTCAGGGTTCGTAGTGTGTTTGGCCTGCTACCGACAGCCCTCGTCGGGGGGTGGGATGACCGATTCACGGCTAAGGACGAGGCCTATGGGGCTTGTCAATTCCAAGAAAGCGATGTGTTCGCCGGAGTGAGTCAATCGATGGGCCCCTTCGTCTGCGCGAAATCCAGGTAGGCCCGCCAGTTGCGCAGAGTGAGAGGGAGGGGAAGCGTTGCTAGAGGGCGCCAACAATGAGCTAACAAACATGAAACATACCAGACTAGGTTCAACAAAAAGGAAGTAAGGCAATCAAATGAAGAGGGTTGATTGCTGCAGTAAGAGCAGTCAAGACAAGCTTTCGAGCCGATCAAGATACGAGGAGCAAGACTGGACTGAATCCGGGATGGAAGAAAGGGAGGGAAAGTCCGGAGTGATGTGGGAGGACGAGGGAGAAGTGGAGGTGACGATCGACGCCGGCTGGAACTCCGCCTGTTTCCCTGGATCGCTTCCGCTGCTCTGGTGTCGGGCGCCTTGTCCTCTTCCTTCCAGGGGCCTCACTCACGCAGCCCAAAATTCAATGTGTCTGCGAATCATTGGTGAACTTTTGTTATTTGCTGAAGATCTCTTCTTACAGGGGTACTTCCTGGTCTTTCTCAAGGATGTCTCAGGGTTTTATACATCCTACCTTCTACCTGCACCCCGAGCCTACAACTACTAAATTCCTTGTTTTGTTTTGGACCAGTGGGCCAGTGCTTATCGGCGGTGCTCTTCACGCCCATTAGTACTCTATATATAAGCTAGATCCCGATTTACAATCCCCGTCTTCGCGCTTCCTCTCTCGCAACGGTGGCAAGTTCTGGGAAATCCCGATCGAGGCTGTCGAACAGCGCCTCCGCTTTCCGTCGCTTGCGCTCTTCGATCTGACCCTGCAACTGACTGATTTTCTCCTGAACCTTCGCATGTGAGTCCACCAGGGAAAGATCCAGAAGTTCATCGGCATATCGACGGAGCTCTTCCAATTTCCTTTCAAGAAAAGAGATACTGGCTTCATCTGTAGTGGCTGGAACACTCGGCTCATTGGTTGGCCGTCGTAATGCGCCATCTCCTGGTGTCAGGGAAAGTAGAGGAGATGCATGCCTAAAGGGAGCCTGAAAGGAAGGCTCAGCTTCAGCAGGGCTATGTTCCTCAACGAGATCACTGATACGGAGCTGCCCTTTCGGGCCTATACTCCGTGAGGACATGACATAGGGACGAGCGTTTGAGTGTATAGTATCCTCTGTACTTTGCGACTGTATCATACCACGATTTGTGAAAGTACTATAGTCTTCCTGCTGTCGTGGTAGTTCCGCCTCTTCATCACTAACCTGGGTTCTCGGTCGTTTATGTACCCGGGAAGGCACTTCAGGCGGGAGGGATGCGCTATGAGTAACCATACTAGCTCTTTTGCCTCGTTTCTGATCGAATACGTTGTCGGTGAACCCCATGATTCGACCGCGAGGATCAATCGACTTAATCCGAGACCGCACAGGTTTGTCTTTGCTAGAGTAAGGAAGAGGGAAGTGGCAGCATCGGCAATTGCAGAAATGGGAGCACTTTGGACATACCCACGGATCTGTGTTCCTCAGAAAGGGTATCAGATCCACGTCAAAGTGTCGGTGGAGGCCCCGGAAGCAAAAGAATGCGGAGCATTGGGTACAAGCCACCCCTTTCCAGGCAGGATGACTATCACGGCACAAGTGACAGAGTCGCTCCTGGTTTATTTAGTTCGCGCTCATTCAATGCCAAACTCAAAAAAAATACTGGGGTTATTCCGTACTATCATCGGTTGTTTTCGTGCATCTGCCGCAGCAGCAGCCAAGGAGCCCAGAGACTTTTGCCTGAAAAAGTAAGATTAGAGGCACACTCGTCATCACATATTTTATCGTAAGACTCTTGACACGGGACCAAAGCACAGACTTGGAGGGTGATGGAGCCCATATGCTTGAAGGGAAAAATCATACTTTGGACGTTTGAATCTGGAGAGTAATCGATCACGCAGTCTGTTCCGAGTCGACTGAATAACCTCCATGCAGTAGGCACGCGGAATTAGTTCGGCCCATGTATAGTCAGCGACGTGTTTGCAGCTGCGTCCAGATATAAAGCATGTCAGACATAAGTCAAAGTCGCCGCACTGCTCGCAGTGCAAATGCCGATTCCATATTGTCAGGCCACAGAAATTACATTCTACCACGGCCCCCTGGGTATCCACAGTCTTCATTGGGGGGACCGAATCAGTCTCAATAGCTTCGTCATCGAGCAATTTTGAAAAGACGTCTAGGAGAAGAGCTTCGTCCTCAGTTCCTAGAGACCCTCGAATTAAGGCATGTAACGGGATTAGAGGGACTCGGCCAGTGTCTGCATGGCAGTATCGCTGGTAGAATGGCTGGATGTAGTCGAAGAAAGAGACAAGTGAAGAGCTATGCATAACATTCCAGACTACCTTTGTAACCATCGGACTGATATTCCAGATTTGATGGGCAGTAGCTGAAGGAAATATTACCAAGTCTCCAGGTTGCTGGTGGGTAATGTATATAGGAAAATTGGCGGACTTGAGCTGGGTAGTAAAGACGTCGGTCCAATCGGTATGGGGAGACTTTCCCAATCTCTCCATATATGTATCGTATACAGTCTGTGAGTGTTTATCGGTTCCAAAGCAGATGGACCCAGGGCCAGCACCTAAACAATCATCAGAACGTTTGTCGTGAACTTCAAATATATCTCGTCATGCGGTTACCTTCCGATTCAACTAATAGATTCAGCGCAACTGTTCCGCTGAAGCATCTGTGAAATCCTGAACTACCCCAGTATAAAATGGTTAGTGGACATAGGCGTATGGAAGGCAGCAGAGACTCACGAAGATTTCCGAGTCCCAACATACGCCATCAGCACCTCCGGAGCTATCTCCTTTGGCAACGTCCGGAATAAGTCGAGAGACCCAAGATGTCTCATAGCTGAAGGAAGAAATGCATCTAATGCCTTGATCCATTCCTGTGGGCACTGAAGGTCTTTTGCGTACAAACTGGCTTGCCTATCAGTTTAAGAGACCGACGCTCGGAACAGTGATCATCTAACGTACAACTCTCGGACATTGCCGGTACGAGCATATTCTGTCTGCGAAAGGAGATCTTGGAGCCGCATTTTCGCATCTCGCCCAGTGTGGCAGTTTCTTACCGGTATCGCTGTCCATGAGTAAAGATGTCAACGGCTACACTTTCCAAACTGTAATGTCGTGGGCATACCTGCTGAGGAAGAGAGGCTGCCTAGCCTCTCATTGTTCAAAACCGATCTATCCCATTCTTTCAAATGAGAGAAGCCACGTACAACGAATGGCTTCCCATCGCGGAGTTTGGTCTCCACCCATCCTGTGGTCTCGTCCTCTGACAGATGGGTGATGTCCTGAACAGAATACTCGGAAAACGGGACGAACGGCTCTCCAGCGCGCAAGAGGTCCTGCACAGACGGGGGGGCCTGTTGTAAAAAGTCCATATCATATCAATCTTGAAAAAAACATTGTCACACCGTTAAGACATGAATAAGGGCATTTCCAAGGCATTGGCCTTCTACAGAAGATTGATATCACACATCGGTCGGCCATCTCGGAACGGGGGCTCTGATTGCTACTCACACGTGACTCCTGATTCCCCGCATATGTGTTCTAACCATTTACGGTAATCTGGGAGGTTCACTTCTTAGCATGTCCATGGGGATGAACGGAAAGATATCCTTAATTTTGTCTAACAAGAATGAAGAAGAAAGCCTGAAGTAAGGCCATTAATAGAAAATTATCAGCGTGACATGGTGTAAGGGAAAATACATATTATCCTACACACTCTTGATCACTGTCACAGCAGTCTTAGTTCCGAGGTCCAGACTTGATGCAGCGCCTTCAACTGGTGTTTGTATCCTGATGGGGGGTTACATTGTTCTTCGACTCTGTAGTGCAATATAAAAGATGGTCCGATGTGAGGGGAACCAGCGGGGCTCAATGTAGTACTAACATGTCATGGCAGACCGCTACTACTAGAGTCAACAGCCGCCCGCCAGTTTGTCTCGATCTGCAATGATATAGACATAACCTTCAGAGTTGCCGACGCAGAATTTATTAGCGTAACGGCGAATATATTGGTCTGAGTAAGCAGTCAACCCTACCTCAGCTACACTTTGGGGTCCTAAATTTCGGGAATTGTAGGGAAGGACGTCGCATGGTCCCTTCCGAGGAGAGCTGCGCAGACCCTGGTCGAGGCTACAGCAGCTTGATACGAAAACTGACTAGTCGAGTCGTCCGAAGTGTGTGATTTGGGATCAGATCCCGAATCAGCTTTTCGCTGCGCGCTACCCATTACTTGGCTTGAACCTTCAAGATTATGGCATGATTTCCATATAATCAGACAGGCTTGGGGCCTCCTTTCAAGTATCCGACGCATGCGCTCTTGGAATCCCACCTCCTCCATCAGTTGTAGCTCGACCTACATCAAGAAAGTCGACGTCCAGGTAAGGCTAAAGCGGAAGCCATCTACCTGGAGGGATGCCCAGACACCAGCCCCCGACTCACAAGCTGTTGCCCGGGCCGTGTCGTATTGAGCGGGTCATCCAAGGCAGGTGGCCAGGACAGACGGCTGGGAAGACAGGTAAAGTCTGGATTCAGCATGGTAAAAGGATGCGCGGGCAAGCTTATTGGAGGGTCGTTGGGTGCCGTCCTCGAGCCTAACTAAGCCTAATCCAGGCTTTGTCCAGTCAAACCTCCGGCCGAGACCCCTTCATCCCTTTCATCCCCACATGGTGCTGTAACCCCAGATCGAACCCTCAACCCGTCTTGTCATGGAGCGGGTTTGATCACCTGTTGAGAACAACACAGGAAGTCGGGGTATAGCTTGGCAATAAAATTTTCCCTCACAGACAGTGGCACTTTTAACTATAATCGATGACAAGTTTGGACTATGGGAGTTAGCATTCGGGTCCTCAGTGGCAAGAGAAACTCGCTGACTGGGCTCGACTCCTTTCAAGATGACCCTCGCTCCGCCCCTGACCCAAAATTACTCCGTCCGGTTACACCTCCTGATCGAATCGGCTAGTTGCGTGGCTTACCGTCTTTGTAAATCAACCAAGGGCCAGGGTTTTCTTGGAAAGAAGAGATTATACACCAGGGAAAAAGTTGGCCGCTGTTGCTTTCTGCATTTATCTCGATAAACTCTCAGCTCCACGTGAGCATGACGCAAGGGTAAATGAAGTGTGGGCAGAAATTCTCCGTGAATATGGAATAAGTACGTAAACAGTGCTCCTATAGAAATGGCGGGCTGGTCCTGTGAGAACAGACTGGCTCAGACAGCGACTAAGTTGCTCATGTTACCTGCCTTGTGTGGTTCCACTTATCGAGTCCTCTATAACCAAGGGTACCAGTGTCCAATCGCTTCTCAATTAACTCTAAACCCAGGAGAGGATTGAGCAGTAGTGGCAGTCCGTTCCCTTCCCCGGCTGCAGGTGGCCAATAAATGCGCCCACCAATCTGCATTTGGCTCAACATTTGCCAGCCGGCATCGCTCTAATTGTCAACACTTGGCTCCCAAACTCCACGGTGGCGTTGACGGCGTTACAACGAGATGCATACACTAGCTAAGTGGAACCATAAGGGTGCAAACGAGGAGAAACTAGAGAAAGTAAAGAGGCAGGCCTAATTACAAGGGCCAAGATTGCCCCGTACGGGTGCGTCTAGTCCAATCCAGGCTCTCCTTGATGGTAACCATCTTAAATTCCATTCATACGATAAGGTTTTCTGGACAGTTGAAAGAATCGGTCGTGGTCAGGGATAATGGAAGCTCCAAAGAACATCATCTGATGCAACTAACATTGCATTAGCTTTCTTTGAACATTTGCATGCGGATCAATGTTCTCAGCCATAGTTTGTACATATGCTACTCTTCCCCACCGGTCAGTGCTTACAAGGTGACAATGAAGACCAGTGTACCTATGCTGAAGTCGGCAGACTCAGACTAGCCCACCTCCACAACCATGCATGTCCTCATAGGTTGGAGGGGTGCAAATCCAATTCCGTGCAAGCCTTCACTATCAGTCTATCTGGCAACCTGTCACCTGCCTGTACCATGGTTGCCTCAATTTCTTGGAATGTCCTCTTTGGCAAATGGTTACCTTCGCCCGGAATGAACGTCCGGAGTAGTCTAAGTTGTGGTAGTTCCAGTTGTCAGACGGACGGGAGCATGTTAGATCTGACTATGGTGAGAAAACTTGCGTCCGCAGTGTTCTGTTACCATACACTGGGTATTTGCGCGCGAAAGTGAGGAAACAGCTACATTATCAAGGAGATGTAGTTCTAGTTAGCTTCAGATAGAATGGCCATGTGCCAGTTCCAATGAGTTTGTTGAAAGAAAGGGGCTTATGCTCTCAGATAATACATGTCCTATTGATTACATCTGTTCACAGGGTCTGATTGGATTGCCACTAGATCTTCTACCCCGGGTTCAGGACCCCCGCGGGGAAGAACGGAGGCATCACAGTACCGCACAATACTTCCATCTTGGTAAGAGCCTCCTGCAGCCGGAGGGTGAAGGTGAATGCAACCGGACCTCGCCTCTTTGTTCAGGGCTCAACCCAACAATTCCCAACAGTGTGCTCTTAATTCCCTTCCCCTCGCACCTGCTTACTTCCAATTCTTTTAATCCCCTCCGCCTTCCTAACTTCATTTCCATCTCACCCCGCATCTGTTGTGCATTCTTTCTCATCCCCATACTTCCCCACGCCGCGGCTTCGACGCGCCCTGTCTTTTCTTATCACTCACACCGTTGTGGCTAGTGATTCTCTGTACTCTAACTTGTGCAAGCACTTGATCCACACGCGCTTTTCTTCATCCTAAGCCAGGTAAACACCATGGCAAAGGAGGAGGTAACCCCGATTCAGGCGGTTGACTCTGCTGTTGACCCCTAGTACGTGCCTTCATGTTTACCTTTTCTTTCCTCTTCATGTATACTCACTTTCTTTGCGTTAGTGGCAGTCACAACGAGCCCGATATTACTGAGAAGGGCACTACGGAGCACATTAATCTGAACAAGAATACTTCTGCCAAGTAAGTTACTTCATCTGGTCTTGGTGTCTCTGTCGTGTTCCCAATAACCAATTTCATGATAGAATCAAGAATCCCCTGGCGGATCTGAGCACAGCTCAAGTGGTCCAAGACGTCGAGGACTTTGCCACTGAATATCAGCTGACTGATATCCTCCCCTTGCTCAAGAAGGGAGCCCTTGTGGCACGCGATCCCGAAGACTTCCAGTCAGTGCCCGATATGACTAGTGATGAGATCACTGCCATTCGTGATGAGAAAGATCACAAGTGGCGTCAGCCTAAGGCTCTCTACTTCACCATCATTCTCTGCTCCGTCGGAGCTGCTGTCCAGTGAGTATCACGCCCGAGACTCTCGCTTCCTTTCAGTACAACTTGAACTGTGATTTTGAGCTGTTTTGCTGATATTCCCGCCAGGGGTTGGGATCAAACTGGAAGTAATGGTAAGTACGCCCTAGCAATTGAGCATATCAGTCCTCGCTAAGCTTAACTTATCATCTAGGTGCCAACCTCTCGTTCCCTGTTGCGCTTGGAATCCCTGAGGATGGTCCAAACGCGTCGAGAAACCAGTGGCTTGTCGGTGTTGTGAATGCGTGCGCAGCCCTTGTCCCCGTATCTTGTGAAGATCACCTTGAGACTAATAAACTTCGATAGGGCCCCATACATGTCTAGCGCTGTCATCGGATGCTGGCTGTCCGACCCATTGAACAAATATCTGGGTCGCCGTGGCGCTATTTTCATGTCTGCCATCTTCTGCCTTCTTGCTCCTATTGGATCGGCCGTCAGTCAGACCTGGCCTCAGCTGTTCGTGACTCGTCTGCTGCTGGGCTTGGGAATGGGCTTAAAGGCGTCTACAATCCCAATGTTCTGTGCAGAGAATACCCCGGCTTCTGTTCGTGGAGGTCTCGTTATGTGCTGGCAGTTGTGGACCGCCTTTGGTATCTTCCTGGGGACTTCCGCGAACCTTGCTGTCAAAGACACCGGGGATATCTCCTGGAGACTCCAGCTCGGTTCTGCCTTTATTCCAGCGCTTCCTCTGCTGATTGGTGTCTTTATGTGTCCAGAGTCGCCTCGCTGGTACATCAAGAAGGAAAAGATGCGTAACGCTTACCAGTCTTTGTGCCGCTTGCGCAACACCCAGCTGCAGGCCGCGCGTGATCTTTACTACATCTACGCACAGATCAAGGTTGAGCAAGACATTGCTGGAGTGAGCAACTATGCCACCCGGTTTGTCGAGTTGTTTACCATTCCCCGTATCCGCCGTGCAACCCTTGCTTCCTTCGTCGTGATGATTGCGCAGCAGATGTGCGGAATCAATATCGTTGCCTTTTATTCCTCGACTGTCTTCCAGCAGGCGGGAGCCAACGTTACCGAAGCACTGTTTGCCTCCTGGGGTTTTGGGCTTGTAAACTTCATCTTTGCATTCCCGGCAGTGTTCACCATTGACACTTATGGCCGTCGCGCTCTGCTTTTGTTCACGTTCCCCCAGATGGCTTGGACTCTGTTGGCCGCAGGCTTCTGTTTCTACATCCCCAAAGAGCAGACGGCGCATCTGGCATGCATCGCTCTCTTTGTCTTCATGTTCGCGGCTTTCTACTCTCCCGGCGAGGGACCAGTCCCGTTCACTTACTCCGCCGAAGTCTTCCCTCTGTCTCATCGTGGTAAGTGTGAATATCCGGTGCTCAAGTCACAACCAGGCTAACAAAACCAGAGGTCGGAATGGCTTGGGCTGTGGCAGTTTGTCTCGGTTGGGCTGCGGTACTTTCAATCACCTTCCCCCGCATGTTGGCCGTTATGACTCCAACTGGGGCCTTTGGCTTCTACGCGTAAGTCCTAACATTATCTGATTATGCCCCCCCTCGGCCTTTTCTGCAGCCACTCTAACCTTTTTCAGGGCGCTGAACGTGACTGCCTTTGTTATGATCTTCCTGTGGGTCCCTGAGACTAAGCAGCGGACTTTGGAAGAGCTTGACTACATCTTCGGAGTCCCGACTCGGATGCATATGCGTTACCAGATGTTTAAGGTGCTTCCCTGGTGGATCAACCGCTACATCTTCCGGCGCAACGTCCACTTGGAGCCCTTGTACAAGCTTGACCACCTTGCCACCAGTGGCTAAGTGGGATGCATCTGTCTGTGAGCACTCCAGGTTTCATGTGCGTGTACGATGAAACCGTTGCTTTCGACACGGAGTACGGATGGGTATGTTGTTTCGCGAAGTTTTCGGCGTTTGGTGCGATTTTCCGCGCTCTAATCACGGGGTAGAATATGAGTGCAGGATACAGTGAAATTGAGGGTGTTTGCAAGGATCTTCACTGAGTGAAAGATCATGTATTACTCTAATGAATGATAATCTATGATTAGTGCTTCTCCGTTCACTACATACGTAGGACTGATTCCTCCGCGAAAGAGTAATAATGTAGAGGGGCTCTGTTGATACTTCTAGCTGGACAAACCTCAGTAGTATGTAAGTAATCTGGATGCAGAAGAGTGGAGGAGATTATGGGAGAAGAGGAGGGAAAGAGGGGGGGGTTTATACTCGGAGACTGGGGGCCTCAGGATCATTATGTCCTCTACCCCTCCCTTCTCTGCCGCTCTTCTCACATTAACATTTGCCACTATCGCCCAGAAAAGGCTGTCTCTGGGCACAAGCAAAGCCCTGGTCTGGCCGGCGAGCAGCTATGCAGGTGCACCCCAGAAGCGGTTCCACTAAGTCTATACATCGGGCAACATACCGGGTCTGTTTCTGCATCCGCGGCTCGTACCTTGCATTCGACTACATGCGACAAGTAACACGTCAGTCCTCTCTATTGACTCTAATTTCCCCAAAGACCACTTCTACACCTATCTGACCACGAAAGACCCAAAGGGAAATCTTCAGTAGCTCCTCTTCACCGGCGGCACACTCTTACAATCCCCCTCATCCAACGTCTCCATAATCACCCCCCGATACCCCACCCTAACCCCCTCCTCCTTCTCATCCTTCTGCCACGTCCAACTATGCCTCAACCACCCCTCATCATCCCTCTCAGGGAAATCCTCCCTTGCATGACTCCCCCGACTCTCCGTCCTACACAACGCCGCCTTAGCCGTCTGCGCCGCGCACGTCAGCAGATTTCTCAACTCCAGCGTCTCCACGAGATCCGAGTTCCAGATTAGACTTCGATCGCTTGTTCTGAGTCGCGTGGTGAAGTCGTTCTGCACTTCGATCACTTTGCTTAATCCGGTGGTGAGGGACTCGTGCGTGCGGAACACAGCGAGGTCCGTTTGCATTGCGCGTTGGAGGTTATGGCGGAGCGATGAAGACGGGAGGTCGCCTGTTGCGTGGAGGGTTGTGGATAGGTTGCCTAGAGAGCCTTGGCCTAGATTCGACGGAGGGGTATCATC